CCTGCTTCCTTTACCAACCAGCGAGGTCGTTCTTATTCTCACAAAAACAACTCTTCTAATCGAGGACGAACCCACTCAAGTCAAGGTCGTCGACCACCTCACTGCCAAATATGCCGCAAAGAGGGCCATTATGCTGACCGCTGCAACCAACGGTATGTTCGACCTGATTCTTCTCATGCTCACCTTGCTGAAGCCTTTAACACGTCATGTTCTATTGCTGGACCCGATACTGCTGATTGGTTTCTGGACACTGGAGCTTCGGCCCATATGACTGCCGACCCATCTATTTTGGATCAGTCTAAAAATTACACGGGTAAGGACTCTGTGATTGTAGGAAACGGTGCATCCCTACCCATTACCCACACCGGTACTCTTTCTCCTGTTCCAAATATTCACTTGTTAGATGTCTTGGTTGTCCCTCACCTCACTAAAAATCTTCTTTCCATAAGTAAATTAACGTCTGATTTTCCTCTCTCCGTTACATTTACTAATAATCTTATTACTATCCAGAATCGTCAAACAGGAAGGGTGGTGGCAACCGGTAAAAGAGATGGAGGGCTATATGTGCTGGAGCGCGGCAACTCTGCTTTTATTTCAGCCCTTAGAAACAAATCTTTACATGCTTCATATGATTTATGGCATGCTCGTCTAGGTCATGTGAATCATTCTATTATTTATTTTTTAAATAGAAAAGGTCATCTTTCTCTTACGTCTTTATTGCCTTCTCCATCATTATGTAATACCTGTCAGCTTGCGAAAAGTCATCGATTGCCTTATTCCCGCAATGAACGTAGGTCGTCTCATGTGTTAGATCTTATTCATTGTGATCTTTGGGGTCCTTCTCCTGTCAAATCAAATTCGGGTTTCCTTTATTATGTTATTTTTATTGATGATTATTCTCGATTCACTTGGTTTTACCCTTTAAAATTTAAATCTGATTTTTTTGATATTTTTCTTCAATTTCAAAAATTTGTGGAAAATCAATATTCTTCTCGTATCAAGGTATTTCAAAGCGATGGTGGTACCGAATTTACTAGTACTTGTTTCAAAACTCATTTACGTAATTCTGGCATCCACCATCAACTCTCTTGTCCATATACACCTGCTCAAAATGGTCGTGCCGAGAGAAAACATCGTCATGTGACTGAGACTGGCTTGGCCCTTCTCTTTCACTCTCATCTTTCTTCTCGTTTTTGGGTTGACGCCTTCAGCACTGCAGCTTATATTATCAACCGGTTGCCTACTCCACTTCTTGGAGGTAAGTCACCCTTTGAACTCCTTTATGGTTACACTCCACATTATGACAATTTTCATCCATTTGGTTGTCGTGTTTATCCTTATTTGCGTGATTATATGCCTAACAAGCTTTCTCCCCGCAGCATTCCTTGTATTTTTTTGGGTTATAGTCCTGCTCATAAAGGGTTTCGCTGTCTTGATCCGACCACCACTAAGCTATATATCACCTGTCATGCTCAATTTGATGAAACCCACTTTCCTGCTATTCCTAGCTCCCAGACCCAACCTCTTTCCTCTATTCCTATTTCAAATTTCTTAGAACCACATTTTCATCGTATTGATTCATCCCCCCCTACCACTTCATCACCGCAAACTCCTCGATCCAGTTCATCCCCGTGTGATATTTGTTCTGACCTTGTAGATGAGTCTGTGCAGGTTGATACTTCTCTTACAGGTTCCACTTTGCCACCCTCGACTTCTAATTCGACCTCTATTGAACCTCCTGTTGATTTCTCTTCTTTGGGCACTCATCCTATGATCACACGAGCCAAAGCTGGTATATTCAAGACTCGTCATCCAGCAAATCTTGGTATTTTGGGCTCATCTGGACTTCTTTCTGCTCTTCTTGCATCCACTGAGCCAAAAGGATTCAAATCTGCGGCTAAGAATCCTGCTTGGGTGGCTGCCATGGATGAAGAAATTCGAGCATTACAACAAAATGATACTTGGACTTTGGTTCCTCGCCCTGCCAACACCAACATCGTGGGCTCTAAATGGGTGTTTCGTATTAAATATTTGCCTGATGGATCTGTCGAGCGTTTCAAGGCTCGTCTTGTTGCCAAAGGTTATACTCAGGTTCCTGGTCTTGACTACACTGACACTTTCAGTCCGGTTGTCAAAGCTACCACTGTCCGTGTTGTGCTTTCTATTGCAGTCACAAATAAATGGCATCTTCGACAACTTGATGTCAAGAATGCTTTTCTCAATGGAACTCTTATTGAACGTGTTCATATGGAACAACCTCCTGGGTATATTGATCCTCGATTTCCCACTCATGTTTGTCTATTAAAGAAAGCCCTCTATGGTTTAAAGCAAGCTCCTCGTGCTTGGTTTCAGCGTTTTAGCTCATTTCTTCTCACACTTGGGTTTTCTTGCAGTCGCGCTGACACGTCCCTTTTTGTCTTTCATCAGCAATCTAACATTATCTATTTGCTTCTTTATGTTGATGACATTATTGTTACCGGCAACAACTCATCTCTTATTGACAGCTTTACTCGCAAGCTTCATTCTGAGTTTGCTACCAAAGATTTGGGTTCTCTCAGTTACTTTCTTGGTCTTGAAGCTTCACCCACTCCTGATGGTCTCTTTATTAGTCAGTTAAAATATGCTCGAGATATTCTTACTCGTGCTCAGTTGCTCGATAGCAAACCAGTTCACACTCCCATGGTTGTTTCTCAACACCTGACTGCTGATGGTTCTCCTTTCTCTGATCCTACTCTCTACAGATCTCTTGTTGGCGCCCTTCAGTACTTGACTATTACGCGTCCAGATATTGCCTATGCTGTCAATTCTGTCAGTCAATTCTTGCATGCCCCTACTGCAGATCACTTTCTTGCTGTCAAACGTATTCTTCGTTATGTCAAAGGAACACTCCACTTTGGTCTTACCTTTCGTCCATCCACTGTTCCTAGTACGCTAGTCGCTTATTCGGATGCTGACTGGGCTGGTTGTCCCGATACTCGTCGTTCTACATCCGGCTATTCTATTTATCTTGGTAACAATCTGGTTTCTTGGAGTGCCAAAAAGCAACCTACTGTCTCACGCTCCAGCTGTGAATCTGAGTATCGTGCTCTTGCCACAACCGCTGCTGAACTTCTTTGGGTTACGCATCTTTTGCATGACCTCAAGGTCCCTATTTCAAAGCAGCCCTTACTCTTATGTGACAACAAAAGTGCTATTTTTTTGAGCTCTAATCCCGTTTCTCACAAGCGGGCCAAACATGTTGAACTAGATTATCATTTCCTTCGAGAACTTGTTATCGCTGGCAAACTTCGCACACAATATGTACCCTCTCATCTCCAAGTTGCTGACATCTTCACAAAGAGTATTTCTCGACCTCTCTTTGAATTTTTCAGATCCAAGCTTTACGTTCGTTCAAATCCGACGCTCAGCTTGCGGGGGGGTGTTAAGGATAGTTGACCGTTCACTATAAGGCAAATATCTAGATATTTGCCTTACATTACGGGTTACCATATTTGCCCTCTTATTAAAGGCAAATATATTGCATTCATTTATTATTCTTTCCTTTTATTACTATTTCCATAATATTTGTAATTTACCATATTTCTGTATCCTGAAAATGATTATAAATAAGAGAACTCTCACCCCCATTTAGGTGTGGTGATTCAGCAAACATTCACAGATGTTTAAGCAGAAGAAGGATTGTTTGGATTTGTACGGGAAACCTACAACAGCCGGTGACAATGCACGCGTGGCTATGGAACTTTACCTGTTTATCTTCAAGTAGGAGGACTCCATGGCTATGCCATTTTTTTCTTCCACACCGTACTCATTAAATTTGTTGAAAGTGTAGGAATTACCTTGTGTGTAAATTTTTTGTTAATATTGTAAATAAAAAGGCTAAAATAGTCATATTTAAACTCTTTTGAAATTACCCATCAAAATTCTTCAAAATAGAAATCAAAATGGGTATTTAAACCTATAATTTACCATGCATTCCTCTTAAAGGTATTTAAGTTTTTAATTTTATTCTAATAAACTCTTAAACTTTTTAATGTTGTAAGACCTAAAAAAAAATGGATGGATTCATTATAAATTTAAATTTTAAAAATGTAAAAGGTGACTTGCAAACATGTAGAAGGGTATAAATGGAATTTGGGGGGTGCATTTGAGGAAGAAGTAGAAATACAGGGGCGGGAAGGGGGATAGCTTAGGCAAAAAGAATCCAAAGAACTCCCTCACCCCTTACCAGACAAACGCAAAAAGAACTGCCCTTTTGGGAAGAAAACACAATAAAATAAATAAATAGATAGATAGATAAATAAAAAGCACAAAAAGAACAACAATAGTGGGTAACCAACGGCTACCTCACCCGCCTCCACTCAAAATCATCTACAAACTTTTTTTAATTTAATGGGCTTCCTTTGTGGGCTTTCAGCCCATTTCATCCCCTTATTCATGGGCTCCAACCCCCAAGCCCATCTATTCAAGGCCCAAACTCAGAAACGTGAATTAGTTTCTGTTTCACGGGAAATTGGAAGGCCTACTTTGGAACAAACCACTAAAAGTGCCCACACGTGAGATCAACGTGCCACACCAATCCACCATATTTCCAATTTTGCCCCTGCATATTGATTCACGCTCCCCCACCCTATTATATGGATGGTGTTTTTTATATAATAAATTTTGAAAAAACATTTGATAAAATTCATAAACTTCCAATTTTGTTTTGGTTTTTTCAAAAGTTCTCGTACTGTTTCACTACTAGCACTACTAGCAGATGTTGTCTGTTTTAGTCTGTTACATATCGCCGTCAGTCTCGCGATTTTAAGACGTTTCCACGTCCTTACCAGGAATGTTTTGTTCTCCTTTCTAACCAACTGCTCGGTGTCTCTGGCTTTGATACCATTTGTAACATATGCATTTTAAAACTGTAAAACTGACAACGAAACGTAACGAGCCAAAGCGACAAGTATCTCAAAACAATCTTCAACCGATTGTGATAACAAAATAATAAAAAAAAATATTTAAATTATTTTTCTTCATTAAAGGACATTTGGATTTTGTATGTAAACAAATGCAAATGACACTTTAAAAAGCTTTATAGAGACATCTCTTTGTGTGCACCTCATTGCCTTCCATTCTGCCAAAATCACAGTTCCCATAATGCCGCGATTATATATCATTGTCCACTCAGCGTATTGAAATGAGTCCAAGCCTCCTACATGAATCCATAGAACAATATTGAGCTATTAAACACACATGAAACGCACTCCCAATCAATACCTCAAATCGTTAACGCATTCTATTCTCTATCTAACGGTCAAAAGTTCGAAACTCCACCCGAACATATTGTAGAACTCAAAAAGAAAAATCAGAAATCCCGGCTCTTTAAAACGCTCAAATTATCAGGTTCTGTCAAAAGACAAGCAAGTAGAACTGTTTGATCATATCATAGAATTCATGTTTGGTTGTAACTTTTGAATACCTGTAGTATTTCAAAAACTTTTGCTGCAATATACTTTTGATCTGATGAAGCACCCTTCTGTTGTAGCTTATCAGGGTGAAGGTACAGCAAAGCCTTCTGATAAGATCTCTTAACTGCATGTCCATCGATTATATCAACCAGAGGAACAGCCTTCCATCCGCTCTTAGGCCAAAGAACCTTGCATACATCAAAGAACAGTTCATAGAAATTGAAGAAATGTCGAGCATCGACCTCAAGAACGAACAACAAACAGAGTTAATAAGATAACAGTCTCACATATTGCAAAGTTGACAGCAGCGAACGTATATTCCCTTCCTTCCCGTTCGACCAATGTCGTATTTTAGTATCGATAGCCTGCATCGTGACAAGTTCTTATCAGCTTACTTCCCCACCTGCTGCAATGAACATAATACATGTACTTAATGTGAGATGCATTACTTGTAATCCTTCACGACCATTGTCTGTTACTCTGGAATCATCATAGTCTTGTGGTAATTCTTTTACCTGTCATAAACCAACCAAATCAGCTCGTTAGATTGTTGGCCATTAATTGGTACAAAGCATTCCACCACGTTTCTTGTTTCGTATTCACATATACTTGATGTAATTTGCTAGCAGATATTGTTCACTTTAACCCGTTACGTATCGCCACCAGCCTTACGGTTTTAAAACGTGTCTACTAGGGAGAGGTTTCCACACGCTTATATAAGGAATGCTTCATTTTTGCAAGGATGAACATACCGAGAAATGCTCTTGGAAGGGCTCCTCCACGTCCGGAGTTGTAGACTTTGCGACACCGGGAACATGAACTGACATCAAGAAGTAATGTATTATGCAATGGATCATCGAATCTTTGATAGAAACTATGAAGTACACAGCAGAGATGCATCACTAACCAGTGTTTGGTGCTGGACTTCTGTAGCTAGCAGCTTTTTTAGCAGAGTGATCATCCACTGATTGCTTGGAAACATCATCTCCCTACAAAGATTGAAAACTGAGGTCCATCAAAAATATTTTTGACTTGCAAATTCTTATCTTCAATGGTGCAAAAGAGAGTACCTTGGTGGAAGCATCTGTGTTCTTATTCAGCTTGGGTTTCTCATCCTTCCTTATTTTATTGACAGTTGCTTCTGTTTGAGCTTTTGAAGCACTTTCCTGTTTCCTTGTAGAGCTATCATTTGCTAAATCGACTACGTCTCGGGGTTTCGATGCAGGTACTTGGTTGAAAATCTTAACGAACTCCGAAATTTTCCCCCCAGCTTTCTTTCTGCCAATGTTATGCCCAGATTCCATGTCTGCACTTAGGAAACTAGGTGTCTTCATTTTTGAATTTCTCAGTGAAGTTTGTCTGCTCAAGTTTTCTGAAGGAGCGGCTGAAATTGCTTCCTCAAAACTTCCACCAGCCTTTCTTTGATCAACACCAGCTATGTCAGGCAGTAAACCCGTTCCCTTTTCGTCATCGACGTTTGCAGTTTCGTGAAAGACGAGAGGAAAATCAATGTGCTGTATAGTTGATGTTGGGGAATGCATCTCATTTTTATTCTTCACTACCCTATCGGTCGAGCTCGAGCTTCTTCGGATCATAGTCTTTGATCTTGATCTCGATCCGTTCCCTCCTCTCAGTGGCATCATCAGAGGCACCCCTTTGCTTGCCCATTTGTAAATGGAGAAATGGAACTGAAATTGACCACTACCATTAGAATCCTCTAAACTATCTACTCCTTTCGTTGAACTGTTTCCACTCATAGCATTACTATCAGACTTTCTAAAGGATGATGCTTCCTCACTGCCACGTTCTTGGAATTCAGAAGACAAAAGACCAGAACGATGGCTTGATGTGCTTGAAGAAAATCTGGAAAGAGTGAACCTAGGAGAATTTGTATGGCTTCCATTCAAGCCACCGTCCTTGTTTCTTGATGGGTTCGATCCAAACGCTGGTAAATCAGTCCCTTTGGCCAATCTTGAGGGTAGGCTGCCACAAATCAAAGAGCCATACATTAACGCTTAGAAAATTAGCCATCAATATAATCTTGGAATGAAACCCATTTATGAAATCAAGAAACGGAAGAAGAAGAACCTTAATTGTGCAGGGAGGGAAGAACTGCCGAAGGGCTCTACCGGCGGCGGAAGAGGTCTAGCAGGACTTAGAATCCCCGAACCAGGAGTCGAAGAGAAAAGGTCACGCTCATGACGGCGAGGAGAAGAACTCACCGATTCATCGGCTTGGAAGATATCGTCGTAAAAATCATTGCTCGGAAATCGCCGCCCGTGGACACCTTCTTCCCCGAACACCGGTTTCTCGTTCAAACCAGACCAGCGACTACTCCGGCCCGACGGTGCTTCATCATCGCGACGTTTCAACGCGAAGGAATCCACCGTCTCGGAGAAGCTGTACCGCGTTTCATGAACGGACGACCGCCTCCTCGGAGGGCCACCGAACACGTCGTGAAAATCAACATCGTCCGATTCCATTTTCTTCCCTTTAACCGAGCCCCATCTAACAGATTCCTAGCTTCAACAGCTTCAATTTGAAATAACAAATGGCGGGAACGGAGAACCCGCGAGTTTTTTTCACGGGTTAACTCAGTTTCTCTCGAAACAGTGGCAGAGGAAGTTGAAGGGAAATGGAACAACGATTTAGCGGAGGAGCTTAGTGAAAACGAAAAGACAGAAGAAGACGGAAGTGGGGCTGCGGAAAGAGCCATCTGGGATTCAGAACCACACAAGCTGTTGGAGAAGATTTGATTTTGTGGATAAGAGAAAAACTCAAAAACCAAACCAAGAAAGGTCATTAGGCTGCGGACAGCATCTGCATCAGCCAAACAATATTCTCTTGGTGACCATTAACCAGAAATTCTTGTGATGTTCATTAATCCGAAAGTCCCTACAGACACAGCCAAAAGTTAGGAAAGACAAGCAGCTGTCATCACAGTTGAGATTGTCATCACATTACATGAGCAGCAGCCTTTTAAAAACACATGAAATAACAAGAATGTCGACCCATATGTAATGACATTTTCCTATTGCAGAAGAAAAGTCTCTCAATTTGAGCTTTATCGTTACAGATGACAAATGTTCTTTCCATAAATACATCGACAAAAAACTCGGAAAAGGAAATAACAGAGAATGTTTTGTAGTCATGGGATGATGATCAGATGACTCCTCCTTGTGGCAGCTGCTGCATTGTATCAAGCAATGGTGGTAAAGCTTGTTGGAAGAGCGTTTCATCATTCAGAACCATCTGGAAAATGATCCAGAGCATTTTGCTTACCATCGACGTAGAATTCGACGACTGCTTTCATTCTAGCATACTTGTCAGGATGGTAATTTATATGAACAATAACGGGTTTCAGCTGTCTCAGATTCAGGTTCTTTCGAACAGTCTTGAAAAGTACCTTGCTGTTCATAAAGAGATACATGTCCATGGTTCTCTTGGAGGCATGAAGACCGTCACGTCCGGGACGAGACGGATAAAAGAGTTCCTCGTTGAAAACGGCTTGGTCCCATGCCTTTTCTTGAGAAAGCCGAGCAGCAACACGGTCCAAAAGCTCCAATGAAGGAAGTGTAGGCCTAATGAAGAAGAAACCAGAGTTGTAAACCCATATTCTCATAGTGTGCGCATATCTAGCCCAACCCATGGCAGGTTCATCAAATACATCGTTATATCCATAAGCTGTTATATTGTTGTGACCATCACTCATCGACTCCACATCCGAATCGCGGTAAAGATGATCGAAAGGGTTCTGCAAGTAGACGATATCAACGTCTGAGAGTAGAACACTGTATCCCAGTTGCAAGAACTCCCTAAGAATGTGAAACTTCAATGCAGAGACTTGATGGTTGCCTCCTTGCTTTCCCACCGAGTCGATGCTCGTGTCTGGATCTCTCTTGTAGACAGGAACATCATGGGATACGCAGAACTCTTCGGTTTGGTCGTCCAGAGCCACGACCAAATAATTGTGTATACCGACATTTTGGATGCTGGTAAACCAAATCTCCAACATAGATTTAACATTAGAATTTGCAAGCGTCACAATCAGCTCCTTCTGAATAGCAACTTTCTCCAGGAGCTTTGCCAATCGAGGATTCACGGATTCATCAGGGATTACGGTGGGATTTGTTCTAAGACCTTTGACACTATCAAATGGACCAGCCTTGTGATTTTCGCCAAGCGCCAAATATTGCTTCTGAGCATGATCTTTTAATTGTTCCACAATCTTCAGCTCCCTCGCAAGATCCTTGATACGCTTCTCCAACACGGAGTTCTTCCCTAATATTGAAACCACGTCGGCTTTAAGGTTCTTGAACCGGTCCGAAGATTCGCACGGGGAAGAAGACTGAACCTGTAAAAGAAGAAAGGTTAGGAAGTACAAAAAGTTTCCTTCATGATCCCTAAAAGACTAAAGATTCCATCAAATATTCAATGCAGTCAATCTTTCAAGTGCTAAGCAAGTTTAAGATAATAAACCAAATGGTGCCTCCAACAAACTTCCAAAGCCACTTCAAATTGGGTCAGGACTCCACCCACAATCAGACTCAATCACTCGAAATTGAAACAAAATTGAGTTTTAGATTTATTTTTACCCAACACTTATCTCGGTGAGTGAATTTTAAAATTACCTTTTAATGTCACCATATTGAAACGTTTACATGACCAAGAACTAAATATTCATCGTCTCACATTTTAAACCCTCGCGTGTTTTGAAACATTTATGAAAAATTAAAAGATAGGATGTTTTCTAAACAAATGACAGACTTCAAGGGTATTTTTTATAATTCATAATATCTTCCAAAAAAAAAAGTAAAGACTCGAGAGAAATACACAAACCCAGCCATGACAACACACATAACTAAAAAGTAAACACCGCCACCAGACGAACTGATCCAGCCACAGGAACGCGCATACTACCCAGAAATCTTAATTTCACTAAACTAGATTAGAAGTTTGAAGGTTAAAATTAAATCACTCGCCCCAATGTAAAAAAATGAATTATAATTCTTCTCTTATTGATATGAAGTTTCGGATTCACGTCGCAATCAGAAACAATAAATGAGGATTTAAATCGGTATAAAATTCAGAATCGCACAGAAACCGGAACTAGGGCAACAAGCATCGAACCTGTAACTCCGATTTCCCGAGTCGACGGTTTTGGAGAGGCAGATCAGAGCGGAGAAGTCCATGGGGATAGAAGAAAGCAAAAAAACACCCAAGAAAAACTCCGATTGCGATGGCGATGACGACTCGAGACACGCGAGCTGAATGTGATTTATCTTTACGACCGGCCATAGAGAAATCAGGCGTAGTACGGCGTGAGTGAAGCAGCAGAGTAGAGAGTTGAATGGATTGCTGTGGATTTTTATAGAAATGGAAGGGAGAGCTACGAATCCATATATATATATAGAAATGGGATTGTTTCCGTTTACCGTGTGGCACCGGAGATTTTGGTCATTGGAATTGGGATGAGAGAGGGAGAGGAGGCGCAGGAAGGGAGAGGAAATGGGAAAGAGATGGGCGTAGAGGAGGGAAAGAAGAAGATCCAATGTTGATGTTCATCATTTTGCAGTTGCTTTCCTTTCGTCGTTGGTTTAGTTGCTTTGCCTAACTTCGCCCTCCACGCCTCCACCTAATTTTGAATACTAAAAAGTCAATATTCCTCTCCCAAGCTAATTTACTCTAAATGGGTAATTTATCATCTAAACGACTAATTTATGTTCAAATTGTTCGAATTGAATTGAATTCGTCAACTTCACCAACTACACTCCAAAGATTAAATGTCCTATTAACACTACTAATTTAATCTCTAACATCCTAACATTGCCACCAATACCAAAATTCATTACAAGAAAACTCGCACGCTTTTATTACAAAACGATCTAACGTGTTAGAGAGGTACCTTGTAGAAGATTGTTAATTTGGGAGAAACAAGCGATAAATTGGGGGAAACCAGGGAGGAAAAACACAACAAAATAAACCCTTAACCTTGGTATTGTTCAATTACGCATCCGATGAGCACAAAAGGTTTCAGATGGAAGTAGAAAACAGAGAAACAACCGCCCAGACTTGGGGAGGCTCACACCTCTGATTTTTCACTTACAAACGAGGTCATTCGTTCTACAACATGTAAAGAGTTGAGATAGATAGTTCAATTAAATATGCTTAGATGCAATAAGCATTGTTAATGGTTATGCTACAAAGATTATATACAGAAGCGTGCAGATGCAAGTGTTGGAGAAGACATTCAGGGCACTCACTTATCATTAGAGCGCGTAACATATGACACGACGACTGTGATGTCGTCAAGCTTGCCTCCATAATAGCGAAATCCAGCATCTTGAGCAGCAGTGGAGAAAGGCGTTTGTCTGTCTTTATCTAGAGCTCGTTGGCGTGCAAGAGCAGCTATCTTCTGGGCAGTCACCTGAGTGCCTAAGCCTGCTTTCATGGCATGAACCACCACTGCAGTGATCTCGTTGTTGTACAAGTTATCAAAGAGTCCATCGGTGCCAGCAATTATGACATCTCCAGGAGCAACAGGGACTGTGAAAACCTGAATCAGTTTCAATACTCGCATCATTATCAAGTTAAAGTTGTTGCTGAAGAGTAAAAAAACAACTACTCTCGTTTTTAAGGTTTGCAAACTCTGCTCACTCTATTTCTAAAAATGTAAACAAAACCGTTCAATGTCTTAACATTGAAGTATGAACTAAGGGGAAAAACAAAAGCAAAGGATTCCAAGCAAGCAAATGATTAAAGAATAAACATAGTATTACTTGGAAGAAAAAGATGTACAAAAGCAGAGTGGGGTAAGACATAATATGCTTCTTTCCCCAACTCGTACCAAGACATGAGGGATATTACTTCCCAGGTTAAGTTTATGTTAAAGTAAACCATACGTGAAGAAGTCACAAAGCTGTATAATCTGTGAGGTTATTCACATATTTATGTAGGTTTCTGCCATACACTACCTTCCATATTATTATCTCGAATGGTAGATTGATATAAGGGAAGAGAACAATTAATCTGACATTAATGCATCAGTACGTATGTTAACTAACTCACTAAAAATATGACCAATTTCCTAAATCAGAAGAAGAAAGATAACTACAGATGGCAAAGAAGCTGATGAGCATACTAACCTGACCAGAGCTAGGCAGATCTCCATTGTTTCCACTCTCCAATTGAAAGGTGAAATTAAAATCATGCTGCTGCACGGGAGATCTAAAGACAGTGCATCCGTCTCTAACCACCATAAATCCACTGTCTCCTAAGTTGATTGCATGGAGACCCTGCAGTGAGGCCTTACATTATTACCTATGGTGCAGTAATAAAATAAAAGAACTGCCAGGCATCCTTGCAAGACAAAATATATGAGCAAGTAATTGTACAAAACAGGGAACAAAACAAAACAGGTAATTGCACCAAATCAAGAATCTAGAGATTCAAAACAGGGAATTTGGTCTCAATAAGAATCAACATACTTGTTCTGTTAGCGCTATGATACAAGCAGTGGAGGAACCTTTGGCTTTTGTTTTTGAGTGAGCCTTCTCCAAGACTCTAGCTGGATCTATTGAGCCCTTGGGTTCTTCCTGAACTGCACTAACTGAATTAGACATAAGTTCTCGGGAATACTGTCCAGCATCAACACCAAGATCTGCCCAGCCACCCACACCATCAGCCACCCCTATGGCCTGTTCATCTACACAGATAAAGTGAGCATCCTCTCCTCCAGTATCTTCTTTATCAGGATGGGGTAGATAGCATGATCCAGAAACCAGTTTCAATGATTTGCCCATCGAGATATTCCTGTGGAGAACATAGTAGGAAATTTAGAAATAAAGAAC